AACCACAGGCTCCCAGCGGCAATTGTGGCCCCAACTCCCAGCTGGGAGCCCGTGGTTGCGTGTAGAAGCTGGGCAGAGTCCCAGCCATTCTCCCCACCCCCGAAAGGCGTTTTTTTTTTTTTGCTCAACACATTTTTAGCCCGTGCATTCGGTATTTTTTGGGAGACCATCTGGCAACCCTAGTTATACGGATATAGCTCTGTAGTGTAGACCTTGCCTAACTTTGCTCTCATTGAACTCAATAGCAGCAGAGTTTAGCCAGTACTGAATACGTCTGAAAAAATCTCACCTCATATGTTATAGTAAAACCAATGGCGAAACAAACCATGACAAACTTACAGAATTAAGGCTTTATTGACACCAGATGAGAGTGGCCCAGAGAGCACTGGTCTACTTATATTATAAAGCAGCCAGTTGCTGCTTATCACTAAGGATTCAGGGACAGCCCAGACAATTGTACATACAGGCAGTCCCCGGGTTACGTACAAGATAGGGACTGTAGGTCTGTTCTTAAGTTGAATTTGTATGTAAGTCGGAACTGGTACATATTGTAGGGGAAACTCTAGCCAAACATTTCTCCAGAGCTCAGTTTTATTCTCCCACACCTCACTTCCCTCAGTCCTTAATTCTCAAGCTGAGGTGTCTGCTGAGAAAAGCCACTCCGCGTCTCCCTGGTCTGCTGAGGGGGAAGCAGCTAGTGCGGGATTGCCTCACCCCGTTTGTAAGTAGGGATCCGATGTAAGTCGGATCCATGTAACCCGGGGACTGCCTGTATTTTAAATCTAGTCTCCAAATGTTCACTACAAAAGTTTTGCAACATCTCACTACAGGTTGAACCTCTCTAGTCTAGCACCCTTGGGACCTGATAGGTGCCAAACCAGAGAATTTGCCAAAGCACGGGATATCTGTATTGTCAAGCATCAATACCAACACTTCCACTGCTTACTGGGCTCTTAGAATATAATCGGGGCTTTTTTGCGGAAAAGCGCGTCAGCATTGGCACGGACGCTTTTCTGGAAAAAGTGCTTTTCCGGAAAAGCATCCTGCCAATGTAGACGCGCTTTTTCCAAAAATACTTATAACGGAAAACTGTTCCGTTTTAAGCATTTCCGGAAAAGGGTGCCAATGTAGATGTAGCCATTGTGTGAACGTAAAGCCAGTTACAGAAATAACAGAAAGAAGTGCACTGTCTGTAAGAGCTGGAAGTGTGCAGACACTGAACACAGACCAGAATATGTTAGAACAACATGAGATGCAACAAATGGAAATCTAATACAAGCCAGCATGGAAGAGGAAAAGGAATTTTCCACAGATGTCTGGGAAGGTATTTCCTGATAGTGGTGCCCCTCAGATCTGACAATAATATTACAGGTTGAGCCTCTCTGGTCTGGCAACATCCGTGGTCTGGCATGATTTTAGTGAGCCGAATGTCCACTTATCATGGGTGTGCCCAAGTTTCCCACAGCCCCATAAAGTTTGCTTACAGCTACCAGTACTGACTCTCAGTGTTCTATGTGGTTATTTAACTCTAATTTACCCTTGAATGTCTTCTAAGAGCCCAGTAAGCAGTGGAAGTGTTGGTAATGCTGCTAGACTATATTGACCGTCTACGGTTTGGCAAATTCTCTGATTCGGCACTGGTCAGGTCCCGAGGGTGCTGGATTAGAGAGGTTCACCTGATTTTCAAGCCAGCTTCCCTGTATGCTTGCAAGTTTTCTGGTCGCAACTGTTTAGAAGCATAGTTCTTGATACCTTGATGTCTAACTACCTGATGCACTAGCACAATTCATACTTAGGCATCAAAGCAACGTGAGTTGCACCCAGAAATAACAGCAGGTGCAGAAATGCAACACCAGTTAATGGCAGCTGCAGACTAAGTACAAAGAAAAGAGCTGGGGGAAGCTAAACTTTAAAAATCTCAGGTCCCCATATACTGGCACGTTTCTTATACAGGTCAGTTGGAGCTCTTTGGGTTACACTAACTAACTGCAAAAGCACTTTACAAAGGCAAGTCAGGGTTTCCATTTTTTGCAAAGGAGAAACCAAGTCAAAGAGCACATAAGTGAATTGCCCTAAGTCGCACAAGTCTAAAGTAGCGCTTGGATTGGAACGCAAATCTCTTAATCTCCGGGTTCTCTACTCTAACCATGCCAATTCCTTGCTGAGATGAGCAGTAAAATGTGGGTGACGAAGCACCTACTTTATCCTATATACATCTTTTGGCAGACAACTCATGAGTGCTTTCTCTAAACTCACTGGCAGTGCTTTGCACAGCCATCATCAGCCTCTCATTCGGATGCCAGCTCTACCTTGATATGCATTTGCTGAACATAATTATGACTTGCTGGGTGTTTGCAATTACAGGTATAATTGAATGTCTTCTCCAGCCCTGTCATAGTGAGCAGATGCGCGTGGGTGCATGCAGAAAGGGCAATATCATGACTCAAACTGGTTAAATTACGTCCATTGCCCAATGCTAACCCACCCAGGAATGCTGTGGCGGACGGGTTGCCTGTGACTGGCACACGGCTCGCCAATGCGGTTGGGATTTACTCACATACATACTGAATGCATTAGTGGGGAAGGATTAGAAATGGGTAAAACGGGAGGCTGGTTTTGGTTTGCACACATTCATCATCTGGTTTCTGGCATTGCAAAATCAAAACCAAAGGTGGTTCAGAAATAGATCCCAGCATGTGATGGGGACTGGGGTAAGGAGGCTCAGTTCCAGACCAAGAATCAGTAAGTATGAAATGTCAACCATGCCAGGAAAAGGACAAGCTTGCTGACATACGGGGCCTTTCTAACACTTGATCTATATGTAAATACTACTAGAAAGATACAGGAAAAAGTACCATTCTCAGTGATCACGCTACAGGGGCCTCCGCTACGGCACCTCTCAAGTCTTGCCTACAAATCTGGTGCAAAGCTTGCCTTCCCGTTGCCAACACCAGTTCCGCTCTGCCAGTACTGATGACGTCAGGCGCCCTAGTACACTAAGCACAGCTACGGCAGTCCAGCCACAGCAGGGTTCTCTCTGACACACTGAGAGCCAAACCCCGGTATTACTGATCTCTCGTGCTTTGGGAGTCTGAAGCTATGTCTACACTATAACAGCACAGCTAGGGTACTGCAGCTGTGGCATCGCAGAGTAGATGCAGC